TCCCAGCAAGGAGAGACAAAGTCCTAAACCATCTGATAAGAAAATAAGGAGACTCACCATCTTCTGTTGCTTCAAGCCTTATTGAAAGTTTCAGGCTTTGGCAATGAAAGAAAGGGGACACAGGCATACAGCAGGGCTGAGAGGGGATGTGTGGTCATGTCATCATGGTGTGAAAGCCTGTGAAGGTGGCATGTGCCTCTCTCCACTGAGGGAGAAAAAAACTCTAGACAAAGTATCAGATTAGTTCCTATTTGGTAAATCAGAAGAGTGAAAATTTTTTTGAAGCATAAGGACTCTGCATTGCATTTCCTTGAAAAGCAGACAAGAAGCATGCAAAAATACTACTCCATTCAATTCTCTTCTGACTCCCAACACTGCACTATTGGACTTTCATTGCCAGTTTTAAATTGCCTACATCTTGTGGAGGAAACCTCGTGAGAATTATGAGAACTGTATGTAGGCTCTTCCATATTCCAGGAAAAAGATGGGATGGGGAAAGTGATCACGGGACAGGCACCACCATTTGGCCAGAGACCCTGCATTGATCAGATCTGTCTAGAAACCCTCATCTCACGTTTCCTGGAACTATATTTTTTCCCCTGTCATCAGATGTCTCAGAAAAGGGCATAAACAAAAGGTAGGAATTCTGTGCATTCATATACTATTTTGCAGACCTAAACTGAGTAGGCAGCATAGAAAAATAGTGGAATATTTTACTTACTGGTGTTATCCCTACATATCACCACTCTTGACCTCCTTTACTGTTTCAAGGACTCCATTTAGGGGAGAGGTGGTTTGGTGCACTATTTTTGTAGCCTCAAGGCCAGTGTCAGGAAACTGAGGACTGTCTTCTCTGCAAGGGACTGGCTTGCTGGTTTTGAGCACTCCAACATCAAAAGACTCCAAACATTCATTTATCAGTACTGCTTTGACTGGAAGTCAAATACTGCAGCATTCTGCTAACATGCAACACAAGTTGAGCAGGGTTTCAGTCATCCCTGAATCTCTCCATCATTTTCTGTCTTCATTTGCCTGCAAGTTGAAGTAGCCAGTTATTACATACAGAAGACTGCTTTTGCTGCTGTTACTGCACTGATTTTGCCCCATGTGTCTGCAGGTATAAGCCAACTCCAGATAATGAGAGATATTAATGCAACAAACTCATAGAGGAAGAGTCATCCAAATGACAGCTCTAATTTGGCAAATGTAAATTCTAGCTGGGTATAAAGTGGTAAAACCCTCAGAAGCCATTTTCTGAGCAGCTTTTTGGATGTTGTGCAGTATCTGTAGTCATGGATGGATGCTGAGAATTCCTACAACGCTCTGAATTTTTTAAGCAAAACTGTTGTGCATTGTTTACTTATATTTTCATGAGTAATTTTTAGGTGGACAGCAGTGTAATGTTCTTTCTTGGGCTAGGAGATACCTGAAGATCTTAAACATTTGTACAGCCACTCCTGTAAAACATCTTACAGGCTTAAAATAGAGTGTTCTGAATCCCTGCCAATAAGTGTGGACAATTTTCACTTTCAACTGTATCTCCACAAGACCTTGGGAGTCACAGCACTGTGCCAGCTATGTGGTCTGTCAGATTTTAGCCACTGAGACAGAGAACTTTGTATGATCTTCACATTTGACAATTTTGTCTTAACCAGTACAGTCTATTCCTCCAGATTACAAGTTTTTTTCAATCATCAGCACACAGCCAGATCCGTCCTTCCATTGCAGCTCTATTAAAAAACTTATATAGAGAACTTGGCTTTCTTATTAATAATTACCTGAAAGAAATGAAGTATAGGAAGCTTGGAGTACTTTCACCTCCTCCTTTGTAGCATGTGCCTTGGAAATTTTATAAATTAAGTATAGAAGTACTTTTTCCGTGTTTTGATGTTCTTGGTCCAATTATATCTTGTACTACAAGCAGTCTGTCTAGACAGAGGTCCTCTGTCTAGATAGAGACACTATTAGTGACCTGGGGTTAGCCTGGCTTGCACCAAAAGAGACCCCAGCTTGTCCTCTGAAACCAGGTTGAGGACAGATACGACTTGTGCATTTTTTTGACCCTCTTCAGCAGACATGGATCCCACTGACTCCTGAAGGTTCTATTTCTGTTGGCTACGTGCTACTTTGTTGTTCTCTGCATTGCATTTTGTGCCCAAGGCAGGACAGAAATTCTGCATGCACACAGAATGGTACTTTTACTACTGTCTGGGTATTTGATTTCACTGAAGTTTCTTTTAACTGCTATTAAACATCTGAATATGCAGCACAATTCCCTTCAGGATGATTTCAACTTTGCCAAATTAATGTTAATTATGAGGTCTTCCTGTCTGCTACAGGAGACACCATTTGAACAGTGTTGCAGCTTTCCCCGTATGATGCTTCTGTGCTGATTAATCAGGTCCGAGTGAAGACATCCATGCAAGAGAAATACATATGTATTTGAAATGCTGCTGGAGGCACAGTACACACAAAGATAGCATCGGAGCTGGAATCAGGTGAATGAAGACCTATGAGAGGAATCTTTGAAAAGTGATTGTCATATTTTTACACATTTAGCAAGATGCTAAGTCCAAAAAACATAGCCGTCTTCATATTCTATAATTCTGAACCTAGACTGAGAACATGCCGCTTCCTAAAATTCTTAATTAAACAGGATTTTTTGACTGTAGAAAGACCTGGAGTTTAAAAGAGAAGCCAAGTGGCTGCCATGTAGCATCACTGTCTGTCTTACAAGTCCATTGCAGTCCCCTTGTCTGCAGCAAATGTCTCACCACCAGAGAGCACATCAGAGCTAAAAGTGACGCTGCCAATTACAGCTGTCTGGAAAAACACCTGCATGCTCTTTTGCACTGCTTTCAGAAATGCGACCTTGCCTAATTAATAGAATTAACTACTTTCTGTAGCCAGAGATTGGTTCATCAGGTGGTGTTTCAGCAACTGTCACCTTAAGTGTTTTAGATATAAAAAGTCAGATCTTTTAAATGTTTTAAAAAGTAACAAATTTGGTTTTGTCCTTCAAGCTTCAAACTGTGGTGTTTTGGAGGCTACTGTGACACTTTCAGCTGCTGCAGCTGTAATACTTGCTCATATTCCTCCTGCACATGGGTGTGCAAGAGAGGACAAACTTGTAAACTATTCCTACAGCCAGGGACTGCTCTTTCCCCAACCCTGTCCATCTAACCTACCCATCTTGGTGACTTTCTTTCAATGCCTTTTTCCTTGTGTTAACAAGACACTAAAAAATGTTCATTAAGCTTGAGCTTAATGAGACTATGATTTATTTCATGTCTCTCTGGTATTAGGGCATCAGTAATCAGAGCATCATGGAATGAAATGCCATGCAATCTGAGGAAGACTGAACCCCCCCAGCCTACCCTCCCTCTTCTTGTGACAGCGACAGATGCACCCAGTTGTGAGGTCTGGAATGGGTGGAACAAGTGGGGAGAGAAGAGGAGGAGAAAAGGGACAGAAGTGTCATTCAGCTTATGCATTTTTCAGCATTCACAAAAGGTTGTAAATCAGATAGATGAGTTACAAATACACAGGTAATTCATTCACTCACATGAGATGTTCCTCCATCTTCACTTTGTCTTACTTCCAAGGCCACATGGTGCATAATTAGCCTGCAGGATCAGGAGACTGGGTCTCTAAATCTTTCAAGGGTTTATTTTATGTAGAATTAGAAATTATAGCTGCTGCACAAGGCTAGCAGTGTGTGCTGTCTTAGGCATAAATACATCTTTAGAGAAACCAAGAGACAATGGGTTATTTTTTTTACAATTAGTCCAAAAGCATGAAATTTCGTAATTGGCAAAGTCCAATGTAGTGTGTTAATCAGAAAAATCCACAAAAAGCGAGAAATAATTCTGGGCTAACATAACTCTAGGGGGGAGGATATCACTGGTATGTAACAGCAGTACATACTGGAAAGAATTCCCCTTGCTTTCCCTAGAATAAGCTTTTATAGGTCATAGAGGGATACACTTATTTATACTATTCATGTCGGGAGCTGCAGACATAAAAGTGTGTGAGACATAAGTCAGATTGTCTAATGAAGCCAGTGTAAGAAATGGATACAAGAAACAGCTGTTAACCAAAAATGATAAATACATTTCTATTCATGAACTCCTTCTGAATTATCATTCAGAATTTTCATTCTGGCTAGTTTATCAGTGTCCTTCCTTTAACATGTGTCATCTTAGTGCATGGAATTTGAAAGATGTAACATTAATAATTCTCCTCATCCTTCCTGCAAGACATCTATTTGCTTTGTGGCTCTGGGGTGTGTGATATGAAGACATATTTAATGTCAGAATGGTATGCCATATCCACAGTAACCTGCAGGACTTCAGTGACACAGGCATCATGTGCAATAGCATGGCTTCTGGGACATTATCTGTACATCTTATTGCCAGCAAATAATGACTGCCCTTAAAGCAAGATGGGGATATTTGATGTTTTTTGAAATTATATTTTTCTTTATACTGAGGTGGAACTAAAAAACGAAGGGTAGAGTCAAGCAGTATTTCTGAAGAGTACATATGTCAGAAGATACCATTAAAGCTCTTTGCTGTAGACTAGAGACCTTTTCTATCTATATAGAACCTCAAGTGTGCAGCAAACCCCTTACCAGTGGATTTGGCACGTTGACCTGTACCAAGGACATTGGAAGAATCGAGGCCAAGGGTGCTGACTTTGACTTGGGTACTTCTAGCATCAAGAACGCATAACGGTAACTGCGCACATTTAGCACTGAGTAAAGAAATGCTTTGGGCTGATCATAGCATCCTCTGCTTCCTTAAGGTTACGACTCTCACGCATGATGGTCTCACTTGATTGTAGGCCCCATTCAACAAGTGGCAACATGGCATCCACAGGGAAACTGAGGCTCCGTTGTCCAGTGCTGGTATTAAATTAAGATTAGATTCTCTACAGTAACATATAAGCTATACAAACTTCAATGTTACAAAACTTCAAAAGCACCACAGATGAAACAGTTTTTTTGGATCAAAGGTTTATTTTTAATGACACAGCACTGGAAAACATAAGTTACAGATGACTTTTTGATACAGGATACATTATATATCTTATTTTAAAAGGATCTGTGAAGGTATGCTGCATAAATACATATAGTGAAAATACATTGTGTTTATTTCTTCTCAGAGATGAGTTCTGTTTCTTTTTTTAAACTTTATTCAGCCAATTAAATAAAAAAGTATAGATTAGCATCATAACAGCTCCTCCTCCAGATTATCTTTTAGTACTGCAGCTGGAAGAGGAGACTGAGCCATGCCTTCTCAAACAGTTAGCAGCTTTGAACATGACGTTATTCATCATCTCAGAATGAAAATTTCACATTACAAACACAGATACTGTATCATGTTTTGGCAATGGAGCAGCTAGTTTTGCTTTGGAACAAAACAATTTCCTGTAATGCCAGACAGTGAAAGAGCAATGCATGATACTTACACAGTCAAAGAGTTACAATGAAGTCGTGAAAATGCATATATATTCATATGCACTTATATATACACATATCAGTTCTTGTGTGTATATATATTATGCATGTCCAAAATAACATTGAAAAACATTGCAGCAGTCAGTTATTTTTTTCAACACATGAAACTTGTAATAGTTTGACCTTATTACTACGGGATAACTAAATCTTCTGCAGTGCAACTCAATACAATACACTTAGTGCAGAGAAGTTAAGGTTTTGGTATTGAGGAGGCTAATTTCAGATTTCATAGGAAAGGATCAAATACAGGATCACCAGAGCTCTGACAAAGCACAGACAAACCTGTTGCCACATACGGGTGAACAAATAAAGACATTTCTTTTCCACTTGATTTTTTTTTCCAGGTACTGTTTCAGAAATAGCTAGTTTTACTGTTTGCATTCATGCTCATTTTGATATGTTTCAACAAGCTTTGTCTGGCACCAGTCTGTAAACCATTAACAGCTTAAACTACAAAAAGGTGGGCTCCTGTGTTTCAAAGAGGTTAAAAACCTACTGACAGAGCTTCGTACCACATTTGTCTGCCTGAGCAGAGAACTACTCCAGATGGCGTGTGAAGTTCTCTGGGAAAAGTCCTTTATAACTGTTTGCATCTCTGTACTGAAGCCATTCGGATTCCTTAATGCCTGTCAACCAACCAGCCTCCTGCAAGGAAAAAGACAGAGTCTCTTAAACTTCAAGTCTCCCCCTTTCCTTGCTATGAGCTTCAGACCTGAAGACATTTCAGAGTCACATGACTAAAAGATTTGGTGCTTCGGTTAAAAAGCAGCCGTTGATTTTGTACAGGCTATTTTCTCTGTTCTGCCAGACTGTGATTTTTGTGAGACCAAGTGACTGTGAGCATATTGTATGTCCTTTAGCCCATCTAACCCCAGGCTTAACTCAAAACTTGATAATCAGTCTTTCAGGTCATCTAGTATTACACCCAGATCTGTGTACAAACCTGTGTTGAGACTTTTTTGAAGCTGCCACAGTAACATTGGCACACTTGTTTTACTGGATAATAACTTGAACTCTAGACTAATGAAAAAATTAAAGCCACCGGGTAGGACTGGTTTTCTTTGAGTAGGGAACAGAGGCTGATGTTACCAGCTATGTTAGAAATAAGGTTTTAGACAGGTCAATTTTGAAGGAGAATAAAGAATAACAAAGATGAAAAGACTCAATGTAGATCAACAAAGTACCTGGCAAAAGACAAAAAGATTAAGCTTTATGGTGATGTTAAATATGAAGGGCAAATATGTACTAAGTAATAAAGGTATGATCAGAATGGTTTTAGAAACATGAATATATAAAGGTTTATTTCCTCTGTCATTGCACACAATTTACTCCAGTTAATGCTAATGGAATTTTGATGCACACCACAAGAGAATAATATACTTCATGGATTCACCAAGTGAAGATTAAGCATATTTAATACGTAACACCCTAAGAAAAACAGACTGAAGACAGAGAGCAGATTTTTCTATCCTTATAACAGTGTCCTATTCTGCAAATACTGATAACAAAATCAGTTGAACTGCACATGAGGTAAGATGCAGCATAATTTGAATACGGATAACAAAATCTGTCCCTATAAAAAGAACTAAGTGCCCCACTGAAAAAACTATCTTTTATTCAGAAATTTCTAAGAAAAACCCAGCAAACCCACATAAACAATTACTTGTCTCTTGTATTAAAAGAAAGCTCAGCTGATATGAGGAACACTCGTTATTATCTACCTTTGGACAGAATGAACCATCAAAACAATTTCAAATACAGTCTCCAGCACTCAGATGTGCTTAGGGCATTAGTATTAGACCTACTTTAAGAAATGTGCTTCATTCACAGTAGTGCTCTTAGCTAATTGACAAGGCAGGATCCACCCTGCCACCTCTCAACCCCCACATCAATAGGAGACTTTTCACCACTAGTGGCACAAACAGATGCCCACGAAGCGGCTGCTGCTAACAGTGTGCAGTACGGTCTTCTCTTTTAAAGCAGTGGCCAAAAGTCAATTCACTTCACTGCAATTTAATTTAATACATGGAATAAAATTGTTTAATAATTCGTCTGAAACGTATTGTTAAAACAAAATTAGACATCTTAAATGAAATGAAACTGTTGTTTTAATTCAGGTTCAGGCTTCCAGAGGGCAGCTTTAGAGGTATGGAGCACGCGCACAGCAGCACCTCCATACATTTTGCCTGGAGGACAGCACAATTTGCGTGCAGTCTCTGTGCTCTCTGAGGGTGAATTTGTATTATTTCTCCAAAGGCACACGTCAACACCTGAACATCTAGGGACCATGCAATCAACTCTACTGCAAGGTTAATACAAGATGATATACAGCAACATAATGCATAATTTGTAAGCCATCTTCCGCATTAAGTCTTTGTGTGTGTGTGCGCGCGTGTGTGTGCCTGTATAAAATCCACTACACTACTGTAGTATTAAGAAATTATTAATACTGTAGCATTAAGAAAGCCCTAAAAATATGCTGAGGTTAGAGCCTGCTAGTAGCATATATCTGGAACTGTAGCTGTAGTCAACTGTGCCATTTAGTCTCAAATAAAACCAAGTTACAAAACCAAAAGTAAAATCTTTTTGTTTTCTAACAGTAATGACATTTTGCATACGTATTTCCATTAACTATAATCTGTTATAAAAATGTTGACATAAAGAAAAATGTCAGCAAAAGAAAGAATCACTTTTTTTTTACCTGATCAGCTGTGGTCTCAGAAGGAATTACTAGTACAATATCGCCTCTCTTTAAATTAAGCTCATCACTATTAGCTGCCTCGAAATCGTGTAATACTTCAACCTAGAGAAAATAACACCAAACATACAGACTTTTTCACAAGAAGATTATTTGTTAAATCTTTATTGCAAAAAAACCCTAAAAATATTGTGCCTTCTTCATGCAAACACATGGCTGTAGGTACATTAAAATCATTAATGTTAACACAGCTTAAGTAAGTCTTCCTGAGACTACCAAAGGAAACGTAAGATCCTTTCCCAAGGTTACAGGGTCTCAAGGACAGCTGATACTGCAACACCCCCCAAGTCCTCCCTCATGGACAAGTCCTGGCATCCTTATTCCTTCTGTGTAAGGAACTTGCTTTCAGTCTGCACTATCATTACTAGATCTGGGAGGGGGCAGCAGGATTTGCAAATAAAATTGGGAAAGACTCCCAGGAACTGATATGTCAGACTCTCATCCTTCTGTTGTGGTCACTGGATATTATTATTGCTGTAAATATCCATGGCAATTTTGAGTGGGACATACAGCATCCATTTCAACAGGTGATTAGAGGCGAGTAATGGCAATCCTACTTGATGCTTGCCTTGGAAGGAGCTCCCATTTACTGGCAGATGGGTATGCCAAAAATATCTGTCTTTCGAAGGGGTGATTATTACAATATTGGCAGGATCAGCATGTCATTGTGAACAGACCATTTTAACTGTATGCTTCTACCTCCTTAAGAGATATGCTGTTCTAATTTTCTCAAAGCACAGCTAGTGCAGTGGTAACTCTGCAATAATGTAAGAAAATGGCATCAAGAACCAGATGGTAAGCATATATTCTGCTTCTGCTTATTTAGTCTGACCCAAGAGAGTGTGATGCAAAACAAAAGACAACCTATGTCAGCATGTCTCAGTGAGAGTTGCATGATATTGTTCAACCTCATCTTAATGTTATTCTCAAATATTCTCTGAAAATATTGAGCAATGAGAACAGATCAAGAAGAATGGCATACTTATGGAGTGCTATGCGACTAATTAGTCTAAACTACGCAAATTAAAATAGGAAGCATGCAAAGTTCATCCATCCTCAAGGAGCTTTTCTGCTGCTCAGTGATTCTGAAGTGAGAAGCATTATCAAAGAACCTTGTGAACCAGGAAACCCTAGGGGAATTCCTCTTATGCCTCATTAAACTTTCCTGTTTGATTACCCTAACAGTTTATTGCTATAATATTACTGAAGTCACTGAATAAGATTTTGGCTTCATTACCACATATTGTAGAAGTCCCAAGTTCACTATAACTAGAACTTCCACTAGAGATTTTCAGCCCAGAAAATGCCAATTTTTAATATTCATAGTATAATCATAGAATGTTTTGGGTTAGAAGGGACTTTAAAGATCAAATATATTGTTAGTATATCAGATATATTGTTAGCATATATCATGGAATATTGCTGAATAACTCTGGCAATGCAGTTTTATTCAATATATTAATTTGCGGTAGTAATTTGGCGAGAGGAAAGGGTTCTCATACCTCATTGAGTCTTACAGCTACATAAGGATATGCACAAAATGTATCTTCTCAGACTTGATGTATGAAACACCACCACAATGCTAAAGTTGTGTTTGTGTGTGCAGGTGTCTGGCTGTTAAGCTAAGTGTCCTTTGACCTCAAAAAAGCATCACACTACGTGCACAGACAGACAGATCCACAGAAGCTGGATCTGAAGGGATGTCTAAAAGAAGAATGAAGAAGCAGACCTTAAAGAGAAAGCCAGGTGGCATCACAGCAGCTGCGTCTTCTGCTGGAACAGGCTGATCTTGAGAAGGTGCAGCTTGGATTTCTTCAGTGGGTTTCTGCTCACTTCCAACTTGGGAAGTTTCACTGGGAGAAGTGTCAGTGCCCTGAGTGCCCACCTCTGCTGAGGCATCTTTGGACTCGTTCACAACGACTTCATGTTCTTCTCCCTCCACCTCGTTGTTTGATGCTGGCTCTATTACTACTGAAGGGATGCTGCTGACCTTTTCCTGAGGGGGGACATAACCAACAAAAACCCCACAAAAGCACCACAAGAGTATTTAGTACTTTATTTCAAGCAGGAAAATGCAACTGTTTGTTTATTGCACAGGGCATACATGGGAATGGGGATTTATTTCTTCTCCACAGTGGATTTTTACGTTAAGACAGAAAACAGTACTTGTGCAAGAATGTAAAGGAGTGAAAACAAGGAAGGGATTACCGTTCCCCTTAGTCCTCCTAACTCTACTTCCTGTACTACCACAAATCATTGCAATAAATAATAAAAATGCTCTGCAGGGTTTCATTTTCAGTGTGCATGGAAATGAAACTTGTTGGAGCATCCAGACTGAAAAGAATATGTTCACTGATCCTCCTATTCTGGTGCACAGAAAGAAATACAACATGCAATGACAGGAGGTGGTAACTGGCTGCCCAGCTGCAGGGTTTGCTCTAGTAGCTGTTCCCCAGCTCCTCAGAGGTCGCAAAAGAAAAGGCAGCAGGTCACCAGCAGATGCATAGCTTGACCACTGTGATTTACACAGAACAAAGTAATATTACTGATAGGATATGGTGCCAGGAGACAAGAGAAATCTATTACTTTGCCTGTTTCTCCAGAGAGGCCCATTAGGTTATGTGATAAAGCTTGTCTCCACAGAGGAACACAGAGAGACAACAGCAGAAGGGGGGAGACCAAACGGTATCCTGCCCATGTTGCTCCCATGCCCGTTACAGGAGCCATCAGCTCATCAAGTCCCATCTCCTCAAGCCCAGGGGAGCACAGAGGCAGGCACAACTCAAATTAAGGACTCAGAAAAAGGAACACCCTGTGTGGACCTCTCCCCAGGCTATCCCAGGAGAGCCTCACTCTTGCTACTGGTTGGACCTGAGAACATAGTACTGCAGTAGTCTTGCCTCTCTTAGACTGCTGGATCTGTCCCAATTCCCCTAACACTCTCCCGTGCATGGACATGAGTTACCTGAGACACATCAGCCTCCTTTTCTTCTCCCTGAGGTTTGTCACCTTCAGCAACACCCTCCTGCTCAGTGGTAGTAGCGCCACCACCGGCTCCTGCTGCCACAGCCACACCGTCTTCTGCTGCTGCAGCCCCCTCCGTGACAGGTATCACCTACAAACAATAGGAGGGAGGGACCTTTCAGGGTATGAGTTCTGGATATCTGCTGGAGAGACCATGGACCAGCCTCTGCTCTGTGACCTCCTTGGGTGCTGCCAACCCACAGCTTTGGTTTCATTTGGGTTCCTCCTGATTGTGGGGGAGAGCAGTGCCAGGAGCAACCTTGTGAAGGGAAGCTGATTAACAGATGGGAGAGAGACATTTATGAAACTTGACTAGGCACCACTTAGCAGAGTCTTCAGGCATTACTTGTGGAGTAACAGTTTGCCAAGGCTCTAGTACTTTCTCTTGTGTTCAAGCTGTTCTCTGTGAGAAATCCACCACAGGTTTCTGCTGAGGATGGAATTTCCAGATTCCATCAGATATTAGAAAAAAACCCCAAAACTCTAAAGTTCTATAACTAGGTCAGTATGAAAAAAAGAAGCATACATGAAAGTCCACTTGGTCTGGATAGGACTGAACCATCTGTGATCAGTCCATGTTGAAATGTTAATGCATGTTTTGTTCCAGTTCTTGAAAGGTGGACAGAAAAGTACCTGTGCATAGATCAACATTGAATCCTTCATCCAGCAGAGACTGTTACTGTAATTTATGTATCACTCTAACATTTGTATTGGTATAAGCTTACAGTAACATACGGCATATATACTTACAGTGGATTAATCTTCAGGGTTGGAGGGTGGAAGGTAAATGGCAAAATTCATTCTGTTAATCCAATTAACTTAAACATGGGATTTTTAACATATGGCAGACAGCACCAGGATAAAGTAAGAACAGTGAAGAAAAACTGTTTTCTAGGTACCAATGATAAGCTACAGTTAGCAAAAAGTCTGGTCTCCATTTAACAGCCTGATGCACTTTGTTTCCTCAGTTTGATCTTTCCTCCATGGATGAGGCTAAGTCAGCTACCTGAACTCAACTGGAACTGCCTGCAATTGTTCGTGGGCACTCTTCAGGCATTGTTTTTTACCAGTGTCTAATATTCAGCACTACTCTTATTCACTGCTATTAACCGATGTGATAAAGAAGTTCTGGAATCCTTGAAGGCAAAAAATACCACAGGGTTTTGTAGAAAACACCGGAGAAGCTTTAGTTTAAATTGAAAATGCTTCTGACAAAGGTTGCCCTACTGTAAAAAGAAATGACATCAAAAGACATGGGCAGATGTTGACCTCTTCTGTGACTTGTAAGGCATGCAAACCTGCCACTCATAGTATTACCAATTTTAGCAGCCTTTACTGAAAAACATACTCAAATAAATGATGAGTGTAGAAGTCCTGTAAGAGGCTAAGCAGGAAAGAGGGAGAACAAAGTGCATATCAGATAGATTTTATACCATGCACTTCTAACAGCATGCTGCAGAAATTGATCTTACTGTCTGCTGTGATTAGGATCAACACTTCTTTTCTTTTATTCCACTAAGGAGGAGAATACTAATTTACACCAATTAGCTCTCAAATGCCCCACAGTGAAAGGGTGATGCTCTCACAGCCTGTAGCCATGAGTCACTGAATGTATACCACAGCTCACAACTGCGTAATCATTTGTTCTTGCATCTTAGAGTACAAAAACAATGCAAGCTAGATGATTAAAAAAAGCTTTACAAAAATGCATATGAGATAGCACAGAATGAACCTTACTATCAGCCTTAAATATATTTGATTAGTACAGAAAAGAAAAAAAAAAAAGGAGGGAAGCTCATCCCACTGAATTAATTCCCAGCTATGGTGAACCTCATACTTGCAGATATAGTTATCTGTATTACCTTACTTCATATTGGAAACCAATCCTACAAACCTCTTTTCCATGGGTCACTGAAAATATTAAGACAGTCTAATAGTATGCTAAATTAGCTATCTCTAGCAGCATTATTGAAATGTGGACAGTTGTCCCATTACATCAACCACAGAGGGGGCAAAGAAAGGGTGATCCAGTAAAATAAGGGCTGCAATGGAAGAACCACTTGACTGTTTTAATTGCAGCAGAGGTGAATGCTGCTTTACCCAGGATGCACTCTCACTGATGTCGCTGTACACTCAACACAACACCACAGATTTGGCAGCAGCAAGAAAGAGACCAGGGAGAGGAGAAGGAGAGCTCCTGAGCCAGCTACTGGGGGCCTGCCTGAGGAGCTCCCTGAGCTATGCCAGTTTTCCAGAGCTGAAGATCTTGCCCCATGGCTGGATTTAGAAGGGGACTGGGTAATTTTTATGACAGTTGGTTATAATTGCAGCTAAGCTAGGTAATATGATGTTAAGAGGAACTAATCGTCATGCTTTAGGGAATACATCAACTGCTTGCAAAGTTCTGGAATACTTTTGGGGTAGTACAGAAGAATTTGTTTTGCAAGTTACAGTATCAAAGGGATCATCATGCACTGCAGGATACTGGCTTAGCAAATAGCTTGACCTCTTATTGGCAGCTCTTCTGCATACAATAATACTGCTATTTTAAACAGAACACAGATATATCACTCCCATCCTGTACTTTTTTGCTAGTGTAATTCCACTGATTTCTATGTGGATGAGGCCGTGCTGGTGAGAAGTACAGCACCACTGAGTCCCGAAGTTGCTTCTCAGTGATGCTAGGATACCCTGGAGCCACAGATATACCCTCAACTCTAGCAGAGCTAATGCTGTTTTACGGGAGGGTAACGAACCCAAGCTTGGGCAGCTGGACTTAGCATATTCTGAAACCAAAGAGAATGGAGACCATGATCTTTTTCTATACATTGTGGCACCAAAATGAATAACAATAAAAAAGAGGTTGTCAGCACCTTGAGATAGAAATCCTAAGTGATTAAGAACTATGAGTTACAATCTCTTTCTCAATCCCTAGTTATATCTCTGCATTTAATAAGCAGTCACAGAATCACAGAATGTTAGGAGTTGGAAGGGACCTTGAAAGATCATCCAGTCCAACTCCCCTGCCAGAGCAGGATCACCTAGACTAGGTTGCACAGGTACACGTCCAGGCGGGTTCTGAATGTCTCCAGAGAAGGAGATTCCTCTTGACTGTTCTCTGTGCATGTTGGAACACATTATAGTTTCAGTTTAGTATTGAATGATTCAAGGTAAGTAGTTTTACCACCTCTGAAGATATATAAGCAAAATACAATCATATGAGTCCACACATGCACAGCTTAAAGTATGTCATTGAACTTTTCAGTTGCTTTGTAATTTGATTTTAACAGTATCTAACTTAATGCTAGATTTGTGCTTCAACAAACAAATTCAAACTGTGATTATTTTCAAATATATCTTTTAAGTTCAGGGCATATTGTACTAGGCAAGATAAATTATTAATCAAAGCTTTTTTCTTTTTATAAAGATGCAAGAAGGTTAGGCAAACATATTTATGGAAAGTGTAAAAGCTCTGGGAATCTATGCAACTTATTTCCAAATGCCAATAGAAACAGCTCCTTCTACTATGGAACTGCTTTGTTTGCTGCCCAGAGATATTTATGACTCTACACTGGTGCAACAGGCAGTTTCTGAGGCAGGTTCTGCATTGCATGAGAGGTGCTCTGGTGTTAGAGGATATACCACAGATATAGATACATCTGTGCAGTGTTGAAACAGATGTCACTAGGTCACAGTTGCCTCATATTGGCCTGCATATGGATGACATGCAAATGACAAATATATTTTTTGCCACGATTCTCTTAAAAATATTAAAGCACAACCACACTTTTGAGGCCCTTCATATGTACCTCGCTTGCTTTCTCAGCAACTCCAGTTGTCTCCTTATCCCCTGCCTCGACACTGTCCTGTATAAAGAGGAAATATGGTCATCACCTTACTCATGCTGAAGCAATGGCCACAGAGAAATCAGTATTTATCAAGCTTAATGAAGCACAGCACATATGCAGTGTAATGAAATGAATGGCTGGAACTAAATGGGATAATCTACAGCAAGCAGAAAGATTCTTGCTGCCACACTTAATCTCAAATAAAAGTAGTCATAAACTAAAACTCATCAAACAAAAACTTTTACACACATCACACTCTAAGGGCTAAGGACAATTTCATTAACTTTTATTATCAGTATTCTCATAACAGCACGAACTTTGAAGAATTTTTTGGTAAACAACAACCCACCACACTGCTGACCTTGCAGTTTCCAGCAAGCAAAATTTTCTCCTGCCCAAGACTCAAACTGTTCCCATTATAACCTGCTCCTGCCCCTGCAACTCACCAGGTTTCAAGGTAAACTTTCTAAAATACTTACTTCTTCCACTCATCTTGGACTGCAACTCATTTAAAAGGCCTGTTCAAAAGACATGGGTCACAAAGTTCATTTTTTTGAAGAGTCACCTTTCTCTAGGTCCATATTGAGTGGTACATGCAGCAGGTGCCTGACATGTAAAAAATTAGACGTGTCAGTGGTTTTCCAAATGTGACACCCATTTAGGTGTTCAGGGATTGAATGTACTCAACAGTAATGGGCTCCCCCCAAATAGTATTTTTTACAGCACAGATGCCATCTAACACTGGGTCCCTTTCTACAGAAGGTCAACAGTCAAAATCGCTAAAATTCAGGCCTGGTTTGGAGTGGTCGGAAGGGCCTTTTTTCTTGACTCCCTCTGGACACAAGCTATTTCTAAAGATGCAATGCTGAGAAAAAGCAAATCAAAGCCCCATTAAGGAAATCCACTTTGCTAATAAATTTTGAGGCTACTTTGCAAACACAGCTAGGTCAGATTTTTTCAAAAGAGCTGCAAGGGTGAAGACAAGTTATGCAAACCTATGTGAGAGCATGGTAGATTGGACCATCTGCTTCAGCAAGCAGAAATTAGGAGAACCCAAATACTCAGGCTCCCACTAACTTCCTTCATATGACAGCATCTGTCACTCCAAAATTTCTACAAGTTTCAGCTGAAATGGTTGCATGTTTCTTTTTTAACAAAAGGATGCTGAGTTATATTCAAACTTCATATCACTCATGTTTTTTCTAATCTAATCTTCTAGTGTTGCCTGCAATCACCTCATAAG